ATTTTAAAATTAGTGTCAAATTCATTATATATAAATTATATCTAGTATTATTATTAAAGTTGATTTATTTAATCAAATATATTATAAAAGATAGTGTTATTGTTTGGTTACCATTTATTATTTTGTTCTTCTCTGCATGTTTTCCTTTCATTCCTCAAAAGTTGTTTATTCCGTTCCGTATTGTTCTTTTTGTTCTTTTTCCTTTTGTTACTCTAATGGTTACCAGTAGAATCCTTAGTAGATGTGTTAAGAGTATAGTACAAAATAATGTAAAATAACCTCAAAATACGTTTATAAATAAGCTTAGTATCGATCTTCAAAGAATGACAGTTTCAGGAGTTTTGGGGCAGTGTCAATTCTTTACATGGGAGACGAGTTTTGAAAGAGCAATATCACTCTAGGAAGGTTCTCAAGAGCCACTGTGAAGATGCCACCAAGAATAAACATCAAAACAAATGCAAAAAATATTCTTCCAATGTATTTTAGACTTTGTTCTCCAATTTCTGGTTTTGTATACTTTGTGTACGTTGGAGGATCTTTAGAACCCTGCAAAAGCAAAACGCAAAAACATTGAAGCCTTTTTCCACAATCCAATGGCTAACAGGGAATCACATAACAGCAAGCAAATGGATAGGAAACCAGCAGTCACAGGATCGCAAGTAAGAAAGCGAGCTGAGCAGAGTTGAGACCAGACAGATTCTAAGTGAAAGAAGTTTATTGTCAATTTACTATCAAATATGGTTCTATCTCTCTGTACTCTACTTAAGCTATGAACTGGATAGTATTATTCCCAGTAGAAGTTCGAAACTAAGGGCAACCACTATGGTATAAAGTATTAAGAAATTTGTAAAACAATCTTGCAGTGAACTTTACTAACAAAGTTTAGTTAATTACCATTGATGTCACAGAAGGAAAGGGCTGTGGTAGATTGTTTCTCTCAGTTTCTGCATCAAAAGAAACAAAACAAAGTGAAGAAGTCCATATGCAACTTAGATAACGAAGTCCATATGCAGCTTATGTAACCATTTTCATTGGTTTCAAAGCATATGCAGCTTATCGTAACCATTTCCATTGGTTTCAACGCATCACAACATATACACACCCTGCAAAATTTTAATAACGTCACCATTTGAATCACATCCGTACTTCATCCAAAACCAAGAGCAAAGTGCTTCTCCATACATATGACAGGAAAAAAAAAGGTAAAATAATCCTAAGAATCTGTGTGTTTTGACATAGCATTCAATCGTGTGCCTATTGTCACTATGACAACCATCTACAAATCCATCTATAACTCCATCACTAAACTAGAGCTCTCGTATGCCCACCAATCACAATTCTGTAACCAAGACTTGAATATAAATTCGAGCACAAACAATCTTACTATTTTTAGTCAGCCAAAACCAGAACACTGAAACCTCGAATCCAAATGCTGAAACTGACAAAGAACTAATAAATTACCAGCAAAATCAGCATCAACCATTGCCTTCAACTTCCAGCCATCTCCATAACTGACAAGAGAAGCATCATCCCCAAAACTGATAGGCTCTTCACCTTCCTTCACTGCTTCGATGAAAACTACTCGTGACTTTAACAAACCAAGTTTCCTGTTAATAACAGATACAGCAAACTTCGCCTTTGTCCCGGTCGTGAATCGGTATTCCTTACCAGAAACTTCACAAAAAACCTCCAGAAACTAGGATTCCACAAAATCAACAATGTTTTAGCTATACTAACCATTGAAGTCGAACAAAAAAAGTAACCAGTTAAGTAAACTAACCAGAGGTGGCTGAGAGGAAGACGCTTCAGGTGAAGTATTCTCAGCCATTGCACAGAGTATGAATCTATGTATACTTGTTATTTATAGCTCTTCTGTAGAGTATAGGTACTGCCAAAAGAAGCAAAGCCACAAATCTAATCAGATGATTAACCAAAAGAGAATGTAATGATCCATTGATTCTGATTTCAGAAACCAAATGTTATAATTCGAAGATAATGACACATCTACACGAATCAAGATGCTTGAAGAAGCTTCCAAAAGCCAAAAGCTTTAGAGATCGAAACACTAATTCAACAAACAAATCCAATAACCTAATCGATAAGATTGTTCTGTAGATGAAGCTCTAAAATCGCGAAATTACGAAGGGATGATCGAAGAATTTTACCAAGTTGTTGCGAGGGAACAATCTCGAAACCCTAAATTATGAGCGATTCACTTGAGGAAGAGATTGCGAGCGAGGTCAAAGCGTCGTCGACGATGGTGATTGCGAGAGAGAAGAGAGGAGAGAGAGGAGGAATCTAAAAGCCTGGAAGATGATGATGAGTCAACTTAGATCCTTAACCGAGATAAACCGGTTTGGTTAATCACTATAAAAGTCACTACACAATCGGATTTTTAAATTGAACTAGATGGAAAAAAGAAAAAAATATAATTCATTTGAAAGTTACTATAATAAATTTATGTAGAAAAATAGTTATGTGTCGATAATTTTTTAAAAATACCCTTTTTAGTATATTTTTTAAAGATACCTTTCTTTTTTTATCTATTTTCAAAATACTCATTTTCAAATATGAAAAATTATAAACTTTTTATATGGTTGATAATGTACATCAAAATCATTATTACTACTGGGAAAATAAATCCAAATATTTGTAAGGTTTTAAAAGGTTCTAAACGGCATTTATAAGGTTTTTAAAAGATTTACAAAGTTTTTATAAGATTTTTAAATGATTTTTAAAAGGTTTTTATAAGGTATTTATACGGTATTTATGAAATACATATATATAAATTTATACACATATAAAAATATTTTGTGTCTATAAATATAAGCTTACACATATTTTTTTGATAAATTTCATATTTTATAGTGACTTTTTGATAAAATTAGAAAGAGATGTATTTTTGAAAATGTGGTATTGGAAAAGAGGTATTTTTGAAATTTCCTGTATGTATTCGAAGAAAATTCTATACAGAAAATAAATTCAAATTTCGTGATTGTTGTAATTGTTAGAAAACTATACGTTTAAAATTGGAAGAAAGTTCTAGAAGAATTCAACTTTCAAATTGTGAATGTTTAAAATCTTCAACTTTCTAGATACATTTTGTTTTTAGTGTCTAAGATTTTGTTGACTTCAAAATAAAATAATTAACTTATGTTTAATAAAGAGTTGTTACAAAGACATTATACAGAATTATTGGACACAATTACTACATACGCATATGTATGTGCCATACACTAAGAAAAATATAGCATAAAAGATTTTGACGATGTCATTCAATCATTCAACGAAAAATCAAAATTAAAACGACATTTTAAAATTTAAGAATTTCAATATACACAATTTAAGCCTTTTAAAGACTTTTTTTTTTCTTCAAAAAATCGTATACTTGGAAGATTAAATCTTCTAAACCAAATAAAAGTGATAGGTAGAGAAATCTTGGAGCACTGGTTTGGTATCTTTCAAAAAACACTTTAACACTCTCAAGTCTCAACTATATAAATAAATTTAACCAAATGATTTAGTCAAGATTTGGTAACATGTTTTGGCTTTTAACACCTATGGATCTATTTAATATTTTCTTAAACCCTTTTCTGCTTTATTGCTTAGTTTCTTAAAACTTTTTACACTTGCTTTTGTTTACTTATAAATAGCTTCTTCGTCTCTCTTAATTCCAATCTCAACTTACCTAAAATACAAGATCCTAAAAAACAACTAAACCCTTATTGTCTCTAGTTTGGTTCGATACTTATTTCATTCGATCGGTTCAACATTTTATTCATTCAATCTCATTTTCTTAGAAAAGTCTCTCAATGGACCCTGTGCATTTGCACCCTAACCACATGCTTAGAGCCGGCACTGCATGAGAATGACATATTCATTGAAACATTGACAAGAAAAAAAGATTAATAAGTCCACAATAATTAACTACATAAATCAACTCGATTGTTCCTATTCCTTGAAAAATTCAATGGTCAAAAGTTTCCATTTCCAAGACCAAACTCAACAACTAGCAAACTATAGACCTAATCATCTTCCTCATTCTCCCTCTTCCCCCTAATTTTGACCAAACAAATACTCTGACTTAGTAAAAATAAGATAAAAGCGTTACATATATAAATCTCATCCTAACTCCAAAATCTTGAAACCCAAGTCAATACTACTTAACGTCAAGAAAATAAAATAAAAGATGGGTTTCTTATGGAGAACGAGACAACGTGTATCTAACGAGAAGAAGATAACTCCGGTAACAATGACGACATGGTCAGAATCTGAGACGGAGAAGGAGATAACAATCCCACCGGAGTTTCAATGTCCTATCTCGATCGACCTAATGAAAGATCCTGTAATAATCTCAACAGGGATAACTTACGACAGAGAAAGCATCGAGACATGGATCAGTTCGGGCAACAAAACATGTCCGGTCACTAACACTGTCTTAACAACGTTCGACCAAACACCTAACCACACGATTCGTAAGATGATTCAAAGTTGGTGCGTGGAGGAAGGATCTTCGTTGGTTCAACGTATCCCTACGCCACGTGTTCCTTTAATGCCACGTGAGGTGTACGAGATCTGTAGAAAGTTATCGTCTGCGACGCGGCGTGGGGATTACGAGAAGTGTTGGGAGGTTATTGGGAAGATTACGAAACTTGGGGACGAGAATGAGAAAAATCGTAAGTGTGTTAACGAAAACGGCGTCGGTTTGGTTCTTTGTGAATGTTTCGAGGAGTTCTCGGGAGATGAGAAGTTAACGTTTATGTTAACGGAGATTTTATATCTGCTGACGTGGATGACTCCGATTGGGTTAGAGGGTGTAACGAAACTCGCCTCCGCGACGTCGATTTGCTGCGTCGCGGGTTTGTTGAAGAGCAAGGACGACTTAGTTCGTGAAAACGCTGCCTTTGTTATAAAGGAAATACTCATGTTAAGCGAAACGCGAATTTATGCGTTGGCGGTTGAGAATGGAATTGCGGAAGCGTTAGTGAAGTTAATTCGCGATTCGGTTTCACCTAACGCGACAAAATCGTCGTTGATAGCGATTTATCAAATGGCGTTGCAAAATCCCGCGATCGCGTTGGAGTTTCTAGAAATTGGTTTAGTGAATATGACTGTGGAGATGGTAGTTGACGCGGAGAATAGCGTTTGCGAAAATGCGTTAGCGGTTCTTGATGCGATTTGCGAAACTGAAAAAGGAAGAGAAGAGGTGAGGAAACACGCGTTGGTGATGCCGCTTTTAGTGAAGAAGATAGCAAAGGTTTCAGAATTAGCGACTAGGAGTTCAGTGTCAATGATTTTGAAGCTGTGTAAAACAGGAAACGCGTTTGCGGTTGAAGAAGTAGTGCGTTTGGGTGCGTTTCAGAAAGTGTTGTTGGTTTTACAAGTTGGATATGGAGAAGAGACAAAGGAGAAAGCGACAGAGTTGTTGAAGATGATGAACTCACATATGAAACTTATGAGTGGTTGTGTTGATTCTGTAAAGGAGTTTAAGTATCTCAAGAAACCATTTTGATGTTTTTAGAATATAGAGGAATTCAAAATAGATAAAATTGATTAGTAAATATAAACTCTGTTGATTCTTAAGTGGATTCAAATATCCCAAGATAAAATTTTAATGTTTTATTTAGGATATTTTGAAGATAAAGTTTTAACCGATTTATAAGAAAAAAGTGAGCAGACCAATCATACTAAAAAATTTAAAAGCTAATTTTCTCGTAAAACTATTTAAACTTGAAATTGAATAGTTGAATGAATGTTGAGCTATTTGTTAAAATAAGTTAAATTCAACTAGAATGAATTTTTTCAATATATTAAATTCTTCAAGAGAAGCTCAAACTTGTCGACATTACAGCTAGGGCCTGGGCAAAATAACTAAACCCGAAAAACCAATCCAAAAACTTGATCCGAATCCGAACATATTATTTGAAGTTGATTAATTTTATTTTAGTTTATTTATACAAAATTCATCATTTTCATACTATAGAAATATTTGTTTTCTGTAAATTGGCACCCAATGGGCTTTTTGATACCTCTCATTGGTTCTCATCAGTCATCAGAATAAAAACAAAATGTAAAGCTGACCAGTTAATAATATTCTTCATAAACGACAAATTAGGTTTCAAAATTTTCCAATTCGTAAACACAGAACAAAACCTTGAAAGAAACAAACATTGGAATCTTGGGGACTACTCAGACTTGGTGATCAAGTCTTTTCCCATTACTATATATAAACTCACTTAGGGCATCTTTAAGGGCGTACACGATCGGATGTTATGAGAATAAACAAATCCCAAATAATACAAATAGTGGATTTATAAGAAGTATTCGGTTTTTGCTTAAGACTCTTTGAAGGAAGAGTCTTATGCCATGTGTTTAGTTTTTATTGGGTTTTGTTTTTTTTTTTGTAAAAGAAAAGAAATAATGTTTTCATTCAAAGCCAATTTTGTTTTTCTGAGAGCTACGAGACGAACGGAGAAGATCGGAACAAGATGATGTCCGGTGGGAACTACACGACTATCGACAGTCAGAAAGTCTCTAGATTTGTTTCTGTAAGTTTTTTTGCTTTCAATTTTACGTTTTCTCGATCTCGATAAGTATCTACGTGTGTGTCTGTGCTGGCCCATATTGTTGTTCTCAGAAGCTTAACCACAAAGAAAACTGAATAGTTCGATGATCTTATTATCAAAAGAGAAAAGGCTATATATAGCCAACAGATGAAGACTCAATCTTCTACAGATACTTGAAACAGAAATATAGGAAGCACGACTAACTGAGACGAAATACCCGGACATCCCATTGACTCCTTATACATCGGAGTTTATTCAAAAACTAGAAACAGACTAAGACCAAATCAAACCCAAAACCCAACAATGCCTCTCCTAAACTGAAAGCAGTAGCAATCAGTTTATCTTCTCGCACACTCCAAGCTTCTCCCTTAGTCTCACGAACACCTCTAAACTCAACGGCTTTGTTAAGATGTCTGCAATTTGCTCTCTTGTTCCACAGTGAACTAGCTTCACAACGCCTTCCTTAGTAAGATCTCTTAAGAAATGAAACCTGACATCAATATGTTTGCTTCGACCATGTAGAACAGGATTTTTTGACAACTTAATAGCTGAGCTATTATCACACATGATTGTGGTACTCCCCGACTGTTTTATGCCAAACTCCTCTAAGATCCTCCTCATCCAAACACATTGACAAGCACAGTGAGCTGCTGCAACAAACTCAGCTTTTGTTGTTGATAACGTCACCACCGGCTGCTTCTTTGACGCCCAGGCCACAGCTCCACCACTTAGCAAAAATGCATAACCACTAGTACTCCTTCTATCATCAATGTCACCAGCATAATCACTGTCTGTATAGACAGTTAACTCACCAACAGCTTTCCTCTTGTAGAAAACACCAAAACCAAGAGTACCTTTCAGATAACGAAGTACTCGTTTTGCTGCTTGCATATGCTCTCCACGAGGATCCGCCATGTACCTGCTCAGCAAACACACGATATACATCACATCTGGCCTTGTTGATGTGATGTACATTAGACTCCCAATGAGCTGCTTGTACAATGTCGGATCCACCTTGTTTCCATCTCCTTCTTTTGACATTCTCGTTCCTGGCACAATTGGATTCTTCACCTCATTTCCATTGATCAAATTGAATCTCTCCAAGATCTCTCCGGCATACTTCCTTTGATGAATGAAGATCCCATCAGCATCTTGTATTACTTCAACACCTAAGAAATATTTCATCTTCCCCAGATCTGTCATATCAAACTCCTTCTTCATAGATGACTTAAAACCCTCTAGCAAGCTCTCATCATTCCCAGTAAAAATCAGATCATCAACATACAAGCTCACAATTAGAATTTTGTTACCTTCCTCTGTTTTAACAAATAGTGTGTGCTCGTACTCGCATCTTTGAAAGCCTTCCCTGGAGAAGTAAGCTTCAATTTTACTGTACCAAGCCCGAGGCGCCTGCTTCAGACCATACAGCGCCTTTGTGAGTTTATAAACTTTATGCTCCTCTCCTTCTTTAATGTATCCCAGTGGCTGCTCTACATAGACATCTTCAGACAACTCACCATGTAAGAATGCACTTTTTACATCCAACTGATAAACACACCAATCTTCTTGAGCTGCCAAGGCCAGAATCATCCGTATTGTGTCCCATCTTGCAACAGGAGCAAAAACTTCATTATAATCTACACCTTGTTGCTGTGCATAACCCTTTGCGACTAGCCTGGCTTTGTATTTGTCAACCTCTCCTTTTTCATTCAGCTTTGTTTTGTATACCCACTTCACACCTATCTTCTTAGCTCCTTTCGGCAATTCTGTGAGAAACCACGTCCCATTTTTCTCTATGGACTCTAGTTCAATCTCCATCGCCTTTATCCATTTTTCATCTCCAATAGCTTCGTCGAAGGTGACTGGATCAGCAAGTGCAGCAAACATAACAAGGTCAGCTATGTCTTCTTCTTCTTCTTCAGAAATATTTTCTCCAGTCTCATACTCTTGCAGGTAAGACGGTGGTCTGCGAGTTCGTGGGATCACAAGCTGAGGAGGCTCTAAAACAACAGTCTCCGCAGTATTCTCCGCATCCTCTGTCCCAGTAGCTCTCTCAGCTTGCAGCGCAGGTGACTCTTGAGATACTTCATCCCCATTAGCTTCTTCCCACTGCAATGGCTCTTCACATATTCTTGCTTCGATTTCTCCCCAGTTCCAACCTTTTTCTTCCTCGAACACCACATCTCTGCTCGTTACAACTTTATCTGTGACTGGATTGTATAACCGGTAACCCTTTGACTCATCGCTCACTCCGATCAACACGCACGTAATGCTTTTATCATCCAATTTCTTCCTCTTCTGCTCTGGAACATGAACATGTGCCAAGCACCCAAACACTCTAAAATAATCCACCTTTGGTTTGGCTCCACTCCACATTTCTTCTGGTGTTTTTCCTTTTAAAGCAGACGTGGGGCTTCGATTTAAAACGTGAACTGCCCATTTTACAGCATCAGGCCAGAATCTCTTAGGAACCTCTTTGTCATTGAGAATGCAACGCACCATCTCCATAATTGTACGATTCTTACGCTCAGCGACTCCGTTTTGCTGCGGCGTGAACGCAGTTGTAAGCTGTCTGCTTATTCCTGTCTCTTCACAAAAACTTTTGAATTCATTAGACAAATACTCCCCTCCTCTGTCTGTTCTCAGACATACAAGTGCCTCTCCAGTCTCCCTCTCCACATGACTCTTGAATCTTGTGAAAGAAACAAAGGTCTCAGATTTATTTGACAGAAAATAAACCCAAACCTTTCTACTATGATCGTCAATGAAGGTAAGGATGTATCTTCTGTCACTGTTTGATGCTGGAGTGATTGGTCCACAGAGATCCGAATGTACCAGCTGCAATTTCTTTGGTGCACGCCACATACTTTTCTTTGGAACACTCTCCCGATGCTGTTTTCCCACAAAGCAGCTTACACACTTCCCAGTCTCCTCTGTTTTCTTAAGCTGAGGCATCCCCTCCACCATGTTCTGATATTGTAAGGTTCTCAAGCTTTTGTAATTTAGATGCCCATACCTTCGATGCCAAAGCTGTGATTCATCCCCTTATGTGATTTTGTAACACTCCACCACTGGGTTGACAGAATTTTTTGTTGCTGTGACCTTGAAAAGCTTGTTCTTTGTCATCTCCGACTGCATAATCAAACCAAGCTCCGGATGGTATAGCTTGCATACTCCTTGTTTGATCAGAATTTCACACCCTTTTTGAATAAGTTGTCCGATGCTCACCAAGTTGCTTTTCAAATCTGGTACAAAATACACATCACTGATCATGTGTGTTCTCCCACCAATTCTCAGACTCACACTTCCTTTTCCAACAACTGTTAGTGATGCATTGTTCCCCAGTTTCACCGAATGGCGAAACTCCTGATCAAATGAGGAGAACCAAGACTTATCTCCACACATATGATTGCTGCAACCTGAATCAAGGAACCAGTCTTCTTCTTTGCTTTCACTTTCTGTAAACGCCATTAGCAAGACATCTTCTTCTTCTCCATTGGCCTCAGCATAGTTGGCTTTACCTTCTTGTCTTGGACATTCGTATTGAAAATGTCCAAGCTTGTGACACTTAAAACACTCTACGGTCTCCTTGTTGAAGTGTCTCCCTCTTCCTCTTCCTTGTCCTCTTCCTCTGCCTCTACCACCACGCTCATCATATGTCACCTTCAATGCTTGTTCTTCTCCTCCATGGCTTGGCTTTTTCATTTTCTGCTCGTGAACTAACAATGAACTTTGCAGTTCATCAACTGAAAGACTATCAATGTCTTTTGATTCTTCAATGGAGCAGACAATGTAATTGAAATTTTCTGTCAGAGTACGCAAGATCTTCTCCACTATCTTCACGTCCTGCATATCGTCTCCGCAATTTCTCATGTCGTTTGCTATCACCATTACTCTCGTGAAGTAATCAGTGATGGACTCTCCGCTTCTCATCTCCAACAACTCAAAACTTCTCCTTAGTGACTGCAATTGAGCACGCTTTACTCTTGAGTTACCTTGATACTTCGTCTTCATCGAGTCCCACAGTTGTTTAGAAGTATCCTTCAAGGTAATCGTTTTGAGAACAGACTTGTCAATTGCACTAAAGAGGTAGTTTTTAGCTTTGAGATCCTTAAGTCTTGCCTCGGCAAGAGCTTTCTTCTGGGCATCAGTTAGCGTCTCCTCGCTAGCTGGTTCTGCAACTCCATCTTTCACCACACAAAAATACTCCTTCGATTTCAGCAAGTTCTCCATGAGTAGACTCCAGTGATCATAATCACCATCAAATCTCGGTATACTCGGCGCAGCAAAATTGCTTGAATCACTCATCTCTATCTCTGTCACTCACCCGTGTTTTCACTCTCTCTCACTAGTGTTTCCCTTTCCCCAGAAATTAAGCTCTGATACCAGATTTTGTTGTTCTCAGAAGCTTAACCACAAAGAAAACTGAATAGTTCGATGATCTTATTATCAAAAGAGAAAAGGCTATATATAGCCAACAGATGAAGACTCAATCTTCTACAGATACTTGAAACAGAAATATAGGAAGCACGACTAACTGAGACGAAATACCCGGACAACCCATTGACTCCTTATACATCGGAGTTTATTCAAAAACTAGAAACAGACTAAGACCAAATCAAACCCAAAACCCAACACATATACTGATTCTTCCGATCTGATCTAGTTTTTGTATTAATCGTAGTCTGTTCCAGATCCAGGCCATACCACCGTCAAATTCGCAGGTAACATTCTCGTGTTTTCTGAAATTTTCAATTTCTGAGGTGAATTTGATATTATGCGTTTAGGAAAGAACGATTTAATTTGGAATTAGAGGCTTCTTTCTTCTCTCGGACGTAAGAGTATGTTGATTTTAGCTTTGAACATTGCAAATTTGCTAGGTAATGTTATGGATTTTGGATGAATCTCTAGTTTCAATAGGCTTAAGGGTTAGCGAATAGAAGATACAAGGATCTTGTTTATGGAGAAAGAGGAAAACTTATACTTGCAAATGTACAGTTTGTTCTTTTATAAGTTTTGGTTTGACATGGTTATGTTCATGTTAAGTTGTGACTGAGAGATGCATTGTTTTTCGAGAATCAAATCTACAAACTTTGATTTTCCTAGTAAACAAGCTGATGAATGTTGTGAAGCATGAATGACTCATGTTTTTGATTTCTTTGTATGATGTTATATAGGAGTTGAAGTGAAATCAGGTGCGCCTCTTAAGGTTACTCCTGAAGAAGACAACCTCATCCACATTTCTCAGGTTATTTTCAATTTTTTTTTACACAGCTTGTTTAAATTTCGTAGTTTTAGTGTAATATGTAGTTTGATTCTGGTTTCTCTATGTGGTAGGCAACCTTGACTGTAAGGGGAAGATGACATGCATATGATATTGTTTGTATGAGTAATTTTGATTAGTAATGTACATCTTACAGTTCCATTCTGATTAGAGAACACGAGTCGGGAGTTTGCTGCGTCTGACTTGTTTTGCATAGCGCTTGATGTTAGCTACCTTCGGTCTTACTTAATCGATCCTTAGATTATGTTTGTACTAGAAGATATTGATCTGTCTCAGTTCAGTTCTGAGATAGTCCTATGTGGTTTCGATGATTGGATGCATTTGGTTATCTTGTTAACCCTCTTCGGATTAATTTTGTTTGATGTTCGTTCGCAGGGAAAACCACATTTGTAAAGAGACATCTTACTGGAGAGTTTGAGAAGAAGTATGAACGTAAGTACTTGCAAGTCATCCCGAAACATTGTAATAACCTCTTTTTTTCAATCCACGAGTTCAAAGATTCTGATATCTTCTTGTATTTTTGCAGCCACTATTGGTGTTGAGGTTCATCCTCTAGATTTCTTCACTAACTGTGGCAAGATCCGTTTTTACTGTGGAGGCTCCCAAAACTTTTCCCCAAGCTGTTCCTGCTGTTGTACCTGCCAATGGTATGTATTGTAGATGCTGCTATTGTCTTTGCTTCTTTGCGTGAAAAGTTGTCATCTCATCTCAAATGTCATTGTCCTTTACGTTTCAGGAAATGCTAAAGCTGCTGTTGTGAAGGCTGACTCAAAGCTAAAGGCTAAGCCTGCAGAAGTTGCGCCTCAATCAGAAGATGATGAGGATGACTCCGACGAGGAAGATGAGTCTGATGACGATGATGACTATGAGAAAGGAGTGAGTTTTTGTAGATGTCTAGTATATGTACATACATTTATATTTTAATTTTCAAATATGTTTTATGATTAATTTTTATAAGTTTTCACTTTATTCATAATTTATTTAAGTTTAAAAAAAAAATATTTACATTATTATATTATTTAAATTTTAAGATACTTGAAGTTCAACCAATAATCATCACTTAATCAAAGATTCTTAACTTACTCTTTAACATTATTAATATACATATAATTGCTTAAGATACATCTCCTAAGTTATACCTATAAAGATGGCCTTATCTTCTCTTTACATGTTCATCTCATAATCTCTTCCAAACATTTATTCTTACATATCTCATAATATTTTCAAAGATCTTTTATTTATATAACTTCTCTATGAAATCTAATTTCTGTTCACATATTCCCCTTCTTGGATGTGTCATGGACGTTCTTTTTCAAATCTTTACATCAGATTCTAGTGAAACAAGTAAAGAAGTTGTCGATAACGAGAATCTTGAAGCTCAGAAAAACTTCAGACAACTTCACTGTATTAAACTCTGTTAATTACTCTCTGTTATATAATTATCTAAATAATAATCTCTCAGTTCTTGATGTAATTCTAAGTATTGTGTTTGTAACCATATAACTAGTAGCATATATTTATTTTCTTGAAATCAATGGCTTAATAAGAAATAGTGTTCTCCTTTTTGTAATGGCTAATATAAGAACAAAGTAACCTCAAATGACTCTTATGTAGTAATGATCGAAAAAATTGGAAAACTTGATCATTATGTTTGATCAGTAGTATCACTGATCATATACAGTTTCTGCTCATTACTGATCATATCAATGTCAGTGACACGACCTTGGTCTTCTGATAGTATTACAAATGAGTCTTCATCGGATAGCCCGAGCTCTTGTGCAGCAGTTAGTATAAGTGTTTGGAGATCGCTCGGGATCCAAACCATGACTCCGTGCTTTCTTTTACGCTCTTCTTTCGCCTCGCGCGGGTGGAATGGAAACACCGTGCATTTCCTTCTCTGAACTCTCTCCTCTGTTTAAGTCCAAAACATAAAAATGACTTCAAGATTCATCTTTTGAGTTGTATAGTGTTAAAAAAAAAAGTGGTTAAATTTGAATACGTTGTTGTTCATGAGAGCTTGGCTGCGCGGTATTCGCATCTTCGAGTAGCTTAATCAGTTTCTTGTTTCCGCACATTCGGGCTTCATCAATCGGAGTATTACCCCACCTTTTAAAGATTAGATGTATGAAGTACTATTGTAAGTTAAAAAATTTTAAATGATTTTGATGATTCATTTTGTATGAGTTTTTACCGGTCTTTAGAGACAACACTTGCTCCAGCTTCAAGTAGCATCTTAGCCATTAGGTATAACCCTTCCGAAGCAGCGACATGAAGCGGGGTTCTATGATCGTAATCTTCAGTGTTTGGATCCAAACCACTTAAGAGCAATCTCTTGAGGAAATCAGAGTCGCCTTTAACAACTGTCGCGCAAAGGAAGTTTCCTGAATCTTCTAAATCAAAAGAGGCTCCTTCTTTCACAAGCAAACGAATCACTCCTTCTTGCCCTGCTTTCACAGCCTCGAACAATGGCGTGTTCCCGAACTTATCTGCAAATATATGTTACCAAAAGCGTAAACATAAGACAATGTAATCTTTACCAATAGATACAATATCAATTTTTTACCTTTTTGATTGATATCAACACCTTCTTGAATAAGAAATGAAGTTATGTCTTCATAGCCTCTACATGCTGCAAGATGCTGCATACATGAACAAGGTAACTACATGTTAAAGAAAGAATCTTTAGTAGCATCGAAGCAAGATCGACGATAAGCGAAACAACGTACAAGTGGTGATCTTCCATCGTAATCTGTTTTGTTTGGATCAGCTCCAGATCGTATCAAGCTCTTAAGCTGGAAAAAATCTCCTTGGAAAGCTGCACTGTTCATTTTCAATGCAAGTTCTGCTTCTTGTTTCCCAATGTGAATCACAATGTCAGATTCTAGCTTCTTTACCCTCTCGTTTGAATCATTCTCCTGTCCAAAACAAAGATTGAGTTGCAAGATTTCTCAAACCCTAAATATAGAGATTAGAAAAGAGTACTATACCTCCATAAGATTGTTCAAGATCTTGCGTCCATCGTGAAAATAAATCTCGAGGATGTTCGAGAAAGACTGTTTATCGAGGCGTAAGAGATGACAAAGCTCGCAAACCCTAACTGTAAATGGTTGAGAGATGTTACAAATGATGGAGATATCTCCAAAAGAAGCGTGAGGACCAAGAAAAGTCACACTCTCTTCTGATCCATCTGTTCTTGTAACAAGAGCTTCCTATGAAAACAACAAAGTGAGACATACAAAAATACTCAATGATGATAGTAACAACAAACTCGATGAGATTTTACATACCAGTAAGCCTTCACAGACGAAATACAAATGATCTACAACGTTTCCTTGCTCTGTTATTACTTCTCCTGGAAGAAAATACTCTTCATGGAGCCTTATTACTATTTGATTAATGAACTCCGTAGAGCAGCCTTTGAAGAGAGGTACTTTTTTTATGTAAGGCAGGTACAATCGTTGCGCAATCTGCAGAAAAAAAAAGTTATTAGTGATGCTTTTTCCACAATCATACAAAACAAATCTACTAGTCCTACCTAGATTTTCGGTTTTCGGTTCGATTTCGGTTAAGAAAGATAACCGATCAGAAGGAATTATGATATGCAGTCGGTTACTGGTTTGGATCAGTTCGGTTCGACCAAAACGATTGGTTACCCGAATTTAACTGAATTATCCAAAATTAACTGAACTAACAGATCCGAAATAACCGAATTACCCTTAATATTCGAAATCACCCAAAATTAAACCAAATTTATCATAATTAACTGAGATAATTGACCCGATTGAACTAAACTAACCAAAAATCTAAAATATTCGGTTCTTTCGGTAAGCGAAAAAAAACTAACCAAAAAAGCCGATACCCAAACCGTTATGTAATTCGTTGTTTCCAGTAACATTTCTCAAATTCCGAACTATCCGAGTATCCGAATTACCCGACCAAATAATGAATTATCCTACCTGACCCGAAGTCGCAGCCCTTAATCTACAATAAGAAGCCAGTTCTAGTAGCTCAACTAGTGTATTATATTAGGGAAAGGAGACTAATCCATCAAACAACTAGTTAAAATACTATGTTGGCTTTGCGGGCTAAAAGTACATATAAACTTGCTTAGAGTACCTTGGCGCGTATAGCGGCTGGGATGTCCTGAAGCAAGACAGTGTCAGTATAGTGACTGTCGTACTGCAATCTCACGTGACCAGTTATTTGGCTACGAAGATCTCTAGTGAGTTTTTTACGGTTCATGAAACTTATGAGATCATTCATCTTATCTCTAAATCTCTCTGTATTTGATCCTTTCACAATCAAGGCAGTGATGTTACCAATAAGGTACGCACCAAGAACCATATCAAATGAAACATATATCATTACAAATATCATTTCCCGTAGATTCACCGCGTGTATGTCTCCATAACCTGAAGTAAAAACAAACAAACATCAAGATCTTTGTAATAACTAATCAAATGAACATCAAAATAATCATATTGGTTTTTTTTACCGACAGTAGCCATAGTGACAATGGCGAAGTATAGAGCTGTTGTATAACGTTTCCAAAGATCGATTTCTCGGAAATTTTCGTAGCTATAGTCTCCTAGCTTTAGGCTACCGATCCAAGTGTAACCTTCGTTTTCCGGAGGAAGAGTGGTAGCCAAGTAATAGAAGATGCAAGCAGCTGTGTGAGTACAGTAAACTTCAACGAATAAAAGTTTCAAGATTCTAGTGAAGAGATAGTTGATTCTTGTGTCTTTCTCAAGCCTTTGGAAAAACTCAACCACTCTACGCACCCGAAACAGCCTTATCCATAACATATACCTCACTAACTCGTGTCTCCCTGATGCCTACAAAAAAAAGGTTAGTGTAGTCATATAAAAGAAATGTTACAAATACAATTTGACTTTTCTAGAAGATCTAAGAAATGCTAACAAGTAAAGGTAAAACTTACCTTGTAGATAAGATCCCAAGGGAAGCAACTAATGAAATCCATAAGAAAATGTGATTTTAAGTACCTAAGAAACATGATGCGTAAAGACATATTTCATACATTAGTAACTATATAAAGTAGACATGGTTAAATGCTTGTTAGGGGCTATTTAAGTACTGACCGGAGAGCAATACGAGATGGTTTGTAGACAGTTCGATAGGTTTGGATATCGCGGTAGGCGACAAAAAACTGAAGAACAATATCGACCAAGAAAGCGATCTGACCAACAATGTCAAGTACAAAGAGTCTCTCAGGGAGACCACGGAAGAAACCAAACTCCATGGGAGTGAACAAAGATGAGTATATTGCCCAAAGCAATATAAACATTTCCCATGCCTTGTACCACCTACCAAGTTTTTCACCACTTTTCATTAGTTCAAGTCTAATCAAAGATTCTTGAAAATTTTAAAGATTATTATAGCTTATAGTCTTATACTATGGCTTATACTTTGATCTATCAAATTGGTAATAGTTAAATGCAAGTAACAATGTTTAAAATGTTTAAATTTTGTTAAGAACTTTAAGATCGACGTAGTTTATACACATTTTTTGTTATTCTTTATAGTTTTTGTGATTTATGCATAGAAAAGAACAGGTGGATGAGATCTCCACGTGTGGCCTTTGGTTACGGCAGCTTTAGTGGAACTAGACAACTAATTAATAATCTGATCTTCGATGATTCTGACACACAACACAAAATTACTAATATAACCTTTTCCTCAGCCTTAATAACAACAAAAATGGAAAAAAAACAAATCATAAACATTTGTTGGAGTTGACAACATTTTCCTAAGGATCAAGTTGTTTAATGTAGGATTACTATTTTAAGAAAAATCTATTTTAGATCTAAAGTTTTCTCCCTTTTTTTTTTTTTTGGTCGGAATCTATTTTAGGGGGTGTTATTGGTTGTTTAAGTGGGTGTTATTGGATAATGGATTTTAATAGAGTCTAACTCTAACCCAAGTCTAATGTTATTTAATCAATGATTTTAAATACTTTACTCAAATCAAGTGTTATTGGTTCTTATATTTGCAAAATCTTCATTAAAAGAGTTTAAAATCTAGTGTTATTGGTTCTTATATTTGCAAAATCTTCATTAAAAGAGTTTAAAATCTAGTGTTATTGGTTCTTATATTTGCAAACTCTTCATTAACAGAGTTTAAAATCTAGTGTTATTGGTTCTTATACTTACAATTATTAACGAAAGTCTTATGTTATTCAAGTTTGGTGGATTTTCACAAATGAATTCATTTGAAAAGCTTTGAGTGAATCTGAAACTGATTTCATGTGTAAATTATGTTAATCCGAAAACCAACCTTTTAACATGAGATTTGACAATCTAATAATAAATTAATAAAAGTTTCATTGAACGTAATACACGTACATTATCAATATTTACAAACTCATTCACCCATGACCCAACACATATGTATCTCTCTTTATCATTTTTTCCCAGTTTTTTTTTTTATCCCTAGTTAATGTGT